GGGTACTTTAGTCCCTCTGACCCACATGGGAGACTTGGATTGAGTTCTGGGCTTTTGACCTTGACCTGGTTCAACTCTGACTGTTGTGAGCATTTGGAGAGTGAACCAGTAAGTGGAAGATCTCTTTATCTTACAAGTAATATTTTGTTTTAGTGTCCAGTTTGGGAGAGTATACAATTTTATGAAGAAAAATATCATTTCCTAAGATTAATTAGACTTAAATATTAAACAATAGTAGTAATCATGAAAGTGAGATACTATACGTCACCGAAGACTTACAGTGATAGCACTTTTTAATAGTTTCTAAGTTTATTGTACAAAATCTGGGAAGCTCAAAGTTTACTTATAACCCACTAACCTAGAAATAGGCTCTTAATATTTTTATGTTTCTCACTTTGATTTTATTATGCTGATAAGTTTTATTTCAATATTTACTCACTTTTAAAGGTTTATTTATTTGAAAATCAGAGCCACACAAATTGAGAAAGAGAGGCAGAGAGAGAGAGAGAGAGAAAGAAAGGTCTTCCATCTGCTGTTTCACTCCCCAGCTGGCCGCAACAGCTGGAGCTGTGCCTATCTGAAGCTAGGAGCCAGGAGCTTCTTCCAGGTCTCCCTTTGGGTGCAGGGGCCCAAGGACTTTCCCAGGCCATAGCAGAGAGCTGAATCAGAAGTGGAGCAGCCGGGATTTGAACCAGTGCCCATATGGGATGCCGGCACTGCAGGCGGTGATTTTACCCACTACACCACAGCGCCGGCCCCACTGATAAATTTTTAAATTCTGTTAATTTTAAGGTGGAAAACTGAAACATGAACACATTCTCATTGAAAAATTCAGAGCTATAATTTTTAATTTTCAAAATAATTTTAATTTTATATTTTTTATTTATTTGAAGGCAGAGTTACAGAAATGGAGAGATAGAGAGAGCTGTTTTCACTGGTTCACTCCCCAAATGGCTGCAAGGGCTAGGCCTGGTCCAGGCTGAAGCCAGGAGCCTGGAACTCCATCCAGGTCTTCATGTGGGTGGCAGAAGCCCAAGCACGTGGGTCATCTTTCACTGCTTTCCCATGTGCATTAGCAGGGAGCTGGATCAGAAGTGGAGCAGCTGGGACTCAAACCAGTGCTCATTTGGGATGTTTGCATCATAGATGGTAGCTTAATCCACTGCACCATAATGCTGGTCCCCAGAGCTATTATTAAAGCTGAAGACCCCACTGAATTCCTTCCCAGCCTACCTTACTCCCCAGTCCCTTTTATAGAGATGCATACTGTTGTTAGTTTTGGTGTATAGTCTCCAAATCTTCAGCTGTACAAATAGGGTATTATTTTTATGGTAATAAAAGAAACACAACTTTTTTGGGGGGGTTTCAACCAAACATTAAGTTTGGTGGATTATGTATATAAAGACTTTTTAAGCTACTGTATAGTATTAAATCACATATATGTATATGTCATTGTTTATTCAGTTCATTGTGAGACATTTTCGGTGTTTCTGAGCTTTTTTTGTTGTCGTTTAAAAAGGAAGACCAGTCTATTTTGTCAGTGGTACTGAACCCCTGTTGTTTTTCTTGCTTTTTATTTGAAAGGCAGGGTTAGAGAGAAAGGAAGAGACAGAAATCTTCAATCTGCCGGTTTATTCCCCAGATGACTACAATGGCCAAAGCTGGACCAGTCCAAAGCCAGGAGCTTATGCCTGGTCACCCACATGGATGCTGGGGCCCAAGCACCTGGGCTATCCTCTGCACTTTTCCCAGGCTCATTAGCAGGAAACTGGATCAGAAGTAGAACAGTGGGACTCAAACTGGAGCCCATATGGGATGTTGGTGTCACAGGCAGCTGCTTAACCTGCTATGCTGCAACACTGCCTGCCCACATTTTCTCTCTCTCTCTCTCTCTCTCTCTCTCATTTATTTATTTATTTATTTATTTTTAAGATTTGTTTATTTGAAAGGCAGAGTTAGAGAGAGGGAGAGACAGCTAGAGATCTTCCCTCATGGCTACAGTGGCCAGGGCTGGGCCTGACTGAGGGGAAGCTGGGAGCCAGAAGCTTCATCTAGGTTTCCTATGTGGGTAAGCAGGGACCCAGATCCTTGGGCTGTCTTATGATGCCTTCCCAGGCACATTTAGGGGAGCTGGATCTGAAGTGAAGCAGCTGAGACTCCAACCAGTGCTTGCATGAGATGCTGCCATTTTAGGTGGTGGCTTAATCCACTGATGCCATAGCACCATGCCCATTTCTGGGATTTTCTTTTTATAACATCGCATTTTCTTTTTTTTTTTTTTTTTAAAGATTTATTTTATTTATTTGAAAGAATTACAGAGAGAGGTAGAGACAGAGAGAGAGGTCTCCCATCTGCTGGTTCACTCCCCAGATGCCTGCAACAGCCAGAGCTGAGCTGATCCAAGCCCAGGAGCCAGGAGCTTCTTGAGCCAGGGGCCCAAGGACCTGGACCATCTTTTACTGCTATGCCAGGCCATAGCAGAGAGCTGGATTGGAAGAGGAGCAGCCGGGACTAGAACCAGCACCCATATGGGATGCCGGCGCTTCAGGCCAGGGTGTTAACCCACTGTGCCACAGCGCCGGCTCCAAACATCACATCTTCATGTGTACCTATCTTCTCCCATTTATTCACTCATTTAATAAATACTTATTTCCTGTCATGTGCCATGCACTGTTTGAGGAACCGGGAATTAAGAAAGGAGTGAGAGTCCATCATATTATAGAGCTTATATTCTAGTGCTAGGAAAGAAAAGGCATAATAAGAGGGTATAAATTGTTGGTAAATGAAAATTGCTATCCTGCATACACTAGTTAGGGATGGACTTCTGGAAAAGATGACATATAAGCAATGATTTTGGTTGAATGAGCCTTGGGAAGGTCTGGGGCAAAAGCATTCTATATAGTGGGAACAGCAAATTAAAGGACCTGGTAAGGGATAGGCTTTGGGATGTTTGAAGAACAATAGGAACACACATGTAAAGTTAAGGAACATTTTAGGAGATGTAACAGCAGTCAACAGATGCTGAAATATTTAGATGTGTATCATTGAAATTCAATAACCAGGAGCTATGTGTGGTTATTGAGCATTGGAAGTATGGTTAGTCTGAGCTGAGTTATACTTTAAGTATAAACGATACACTGGGTTTCTAAGACTTAGTGCCAAGAAAGCGATGTAAAATATCTTAATATTTTTATGTTGATTGTATGTTGAAATAATATTTTGGGACATGCTGAGTTTGAAAAATTTCTTGAAATTAACTTGTTTTTACTTTGAAAATATGGCTACTGAAAAATATAAATATATATTTATATAAATTTATATAAATATAAAGCTGTATTTCTATTGGATAATGCTGGTTTTAAATGTGATGGCAATTACAGCATTATAATTTTAGGCAAGGAGTAATGTGACAATGTTTATTTTTTAAAAGATTTACTGTTATTTATTTCAAAGAGTTAGAGAGAGATCAGTCTTTAATCCACTGGTTCACTTCTCAGATGGTCGCAATGTCCAACACTGAGTCAGGCCAAAGTCAGGAGCCCAGAGACTCTTCCGGGTCTCCATGTGGGTACAGGGTCCTAAGCACTTGGGCCATTCTCCAGTGTTTCCCAGGCACACCAGCAAGGAGCTGGATCGGAAGTAGGGCAGCTGGCCCTCAAACCAGTGCCCATATGGGATGCCATTGTCCTAAGTGGTGGGTCAACCCTCTATGCCACAGCACTAGCCCCAACGAGATTTATTTTAAAAAAAGAATTATTCCGCTGTGATTGTTTTATGAAGGATAGATGGTAAAGACTTCAGCAAAAGCAGAGGAACCAGTTAGGAAGTTACTCCAGTAGTCCACATAAGAAATGAGGATCGGGCCGGCGCCGTGGCTCAATAGGCTAATCCTCCACCTTGCGGCGCCGGCACACCGGGTTCTAGTCCCGGTCAGGGCGCCGGATTCTGTCCCGGTTGCCCCTCTTCCAGGCCAGCTCTCTGCTATGGCCAGGGAGTGCAGTGGAGGATGGCCCAGGTGCTTGGGCCCTGCACCCCATGGGAGACCAGGAAAAGCACCTGGATCCTGGCTCCTGCCATCGGATCAGCGCGGTGCGCCGGCTGCAGCGGCGGCCATTGGAGGGTGAACCAACGGCAAAGGAAGACCTTTCTCTCTGTCTCTCTCTCTCACTGTCCACTCTGCCTGTCAAAGATGAGAAGAAAGAAAAAAAAAAAAAAAAATAAATAAATAAAAAAGAAATGAGGATCTAGCACTGACATGGTGCTGTAGAGGGTAAAGCCGCCACCTGCACTGCTGGCCTTTTATATGGTTAGAGGTTTGTGTCCCATCTGTCCCACTTCCAATCCAGCTCCCTGCTGACAGCCTGGGAAAAGCAGCAGAAATCGCATACATGCTATCCATGTTGGAGCCTGGAAGAAGGTCCTGCCAGGCTGGCTGTTGTGGCCTTCTGGGGAGTGAACCAGCAGATGGAAGATCTCTTTCCTTGTCTCTCCTTCTCTTTGTAACTCTGACTTCAAATTAGTAAGTTAATCTTTTATAAAAAAGAAAGAAATAAGAATCGTGGTAAAGGTAGTGAAAACATTTAGTATGATTTTTTAATCTAGAACAGTCTGCTTCCTGATGGTTTGGAAAATGGAATGTGAATGAGAGTGGAACTAAAGGTGATCAAGTTTTCAGCCATAACAAAACAATGTCTGTTTAATAGTAACAGTCGGCTGTGTAGATAAAGCTGTTATATAGTATCTCACTTACTGGTATTTTTTGTATCTTTATTGTCCTACCCGTAAAGGCTAGTGCTTGTGATCAGAAAATAGTCTCATATTTAGTCTCATAGTAGAGCTTTAAGGTGCTTTTATTTTATTCAGAATGTAAATCTACCATGTAATACTATTGTTAAAATACTTTCTTCCTAGATGTTTTCTTTTTGGTATTGTTTAAGGAATTTGAATGTTTTTGTTTTTAAAAGCTTTTTAAAATTAGAACTCTCATTTTTGTTTTCTAGGAACAAAACGATTGGATCAATTGTCCTGTGGTGTTGGTTTTTCCTTTTTTGTCTTTTTAAATTTAAAGGTAATCTGCTTGTTGTGTTTACTGATCATACAGTTTTCTTTTTTGGGCTGACAGTCTATATTTAGTTACTAAAATAGGAGTTTGATTTGATTTTATGATAATGGCTAAGCTTTATCTTTCAAGTGTGTGTGTGTTTTTGAAAAAGGCAAAGTTACTGGGCGGGGGGGATATCTTCCATCTGCTATTTCACTCCCCAAATGCCCACAATTTTGGAGCCTGAGCCAGTCAAGAGCCAGGAGTTTCTTCCGGGTCTCCCAGGTGGGTGCAGGGGCCCAAGTATTTGGGCTGTCCTCTGCTGCTTTCCCAGGCGAATTAGCAGGGAGCTGGATCATTAATAAAGTTGCTGGGGACTTAAACCAGCATCCAAATGGGATGCTGCACTGCAGGTGGCAGCTTTACCTGCTATGCCAAACATTTTCTATATCTTTAAAGCTTTTTCTAGTTGCTTCACAAAACACAATCTAATCTCTAAAAGTAAACCACTAATAATCCATGTATTATACCTCACAGAAATAGAAATCAAGATAAACTCAAACTACATTTCTTGTTAATGTACCACAGAATTTTTTTTTTTTTTTTTAAGATTTATTTATTTGAAAGAGTTAGAGAGAGAGGTAGAGACAGACAGAGAGATCTTCTATCTGCTGGTTCACTCCCCAGATGGCCACAATTGGCCAGAGCTGCACCGATTCGAAGCCAGGAGCTTCTTCCAGGTCTCCCACGTGGGTGCAGGGGCCCAAGGACTTGGGCTGTCCTCTACTGCTTCCCCAGGCTATAGCAGAGAGCTGAATCGGAAGAGGACTAGAACCGGCACCCATATGGGATGCGGGCGCTTCAGGCCAGGGCTTTAACCCGCTGTGCCACAGTGCCAGCCCCCCACAGAATTCTTTTTCCCACAAATATGTAAGAATCTTTTCTGTTTTAATTTCCTTGCCTGAAACTATATTTTTTCTCATAGATTGAGCCCTGGGACCATGGGAATAAAGGTTCAGCGTCCTCGGTGTTTTTTTGATATTGCCATTAACAATCAACCTGGTAAGATTATTAATATTACTAGCTAGCATTTATAAATCAGTATTTAATATTTTAAACTAGTAAGAGAATTTAAATTGTCTTTTTTTTTTTTTTCAGCTGGAAGAGTTGTCTTTGAATTATTTTCTGATGTGTGTCCCAAAACCTGCGAGAATTTTCGATGTCTTTGTACAGGTTTGTCCCCATTTTCAGAAACTGTGGTAGTAGTTCCATTGACTATGGTATGCTTAACTTTTTAATTTACTATATTTTGGGTTTTTTCTTCATGTATATTCTTTCTCTTAACATGAAGATTATGCGGCATTAATGAGGTCATGAAAGTAATTCTTACAGAAATATTAGGCATAATTGGATTTTATCAGAGATTAATTTCTACCTACTCCAGAAAGTATGGGTAATTTTTAAATGACATTAAAAAAATTTTGAAGGGACTGAAAATTCCATAGTTTAAAAGTTGGTAAATTTCAAGAAAGGTAAATTTAAAAGACAAAGGCTCTCTTCATTAATTTTACTTTAATACTATTTGCTTGATTATCTTTCTCCTAATTGTCCTACTGGTTTTTCTTCTGCACAGGTGAAAAGGGCACAGGGAAGTCAACTCAGAAGCCATTACATTATAAGAGTTGTCTCTTTCATAGAGTTGTCAAGGATTTTATGGTTCAAGGTGGTGACTTCAGTGAGGGTGAGACTTTGATTCCTACAAAAGAAAATCATGTATATGTATTCTTTATTAAATATCGTATCTCAAAATTGAAAAAAATCCCTAAGAATCTTAGTCCAGTTTTCATTTCACTTTATTTAGTATTTGGTCAAACAGAATTGCCTTAGACAAAACATAGACAATAATTTTACTTTGATACATCAGTTAAGTTCAAAAATTTACTTGAGTACAAAATGCTGTATTCCTGGTTGATTTTGTCATAACTGGTGATCTACTACAATATGAGTATGGTTTTTACCTCTTTATTGTAAAACGATTGATGCAAATATCTTTTTTTTTTTTATAAGATTTATTTATTTACTTGTTTGAAAGGCAGAGTTTTTGGGGAAGGGAAACAGAGAGAAAGAGATCACCCATCAACTGTTTCATTCCCCAAATGGGCGCAACAGCCAGGGCTCATCAGGCTGACGCCAGAAGCCACAAGCTTAATCTGGGTATCCTATGTGTATGCAGGGGCCCGGGCACTGGGATCATCCTCTGATTCTTCCCAGGTGCATTAGCAGGGAGCTGAATTGGAAATTGAGCAGCCAGGACTGGAACCGACATTCACATAGGATATTGGCATCATTGTTTCCACTTTATCTGGTGTGCCACAGCACCAGTCCCTTAAAACTGTGCTTTTAAAGACACATTTTGGGGGCCAGTGGTGTGGTGTAGCAGATAAACCACCACCTACAGTGCTGGCATCCCATGTGGGCGCCAGTTTGAGTCTTGGTTGCTCCACTTCTGATCCAGCTCTGCTTTGGCCTGGGAAAGCAGTGGAAGATGACCCAAGCACTTGTGCCCCTGCACCCACGTGGGAGACCTGGAAGAAGCTCCAGGCTCCTGGCTTCGGGTCAGCGTAGCTTCGGCCATTTGGGGAGTGAACCAGTGCATGGGAGATCTCTCTCTCTCTCTCTTTCTCTCTCTCATTCTCTCACTCTCTTACTCTCTGCCTCTCTGTAACTCTGCCTTTCAAATAAATAAATCTTTGAAATAAATAAATACATGTTATATCTTAATTCTCTTTAAAAAACCTGTCTAATCATCATCAGAATCTGAGCTCTAGTTTCTACCTATCTTAATAGACTTTGTCACATTTTTTGTAATGATTTTCCGTGAACATTTTGAATACTATTGTTTAAAAGTCTTGAGTACTGGCCGGCGCCGTGGCTCACTAGGCTAATCCTCCGCCTAGCGGCGCCGGCACACCGGGTTCTAGTCCCGGTTGGGGCGCCGGATTCTGTCCCGGTTGCCCCTCTTCCAGGCCAGCTCTCTGCTGTGGCCAGGGAGTGCAGTGGAGGATGGCCCAAGTGCTTGGGCCCTGCACCCCATGGGAGACCAGGAAAAGCACCTGGCTCCTGGCTCCTGCCATCGGATTAGCGCGGTGCGCCTGCCGCAGCGCACTAGCCGCGGCGGCCATTGGAGGGTGAACCAACGGCAAAGGAAGACCTTTCTCTCTCTCTCTCACTGTCCACTCTGCCTGTCAAAAAAATTTAAAAATAAATAAATAAATAAATAAAAGTCTTGAGTACTTACTTTGTAAGAAGTACTTTGCTTAGACAGCAGTTTTAAGGAACTTATTACCTTTAGGGTTCTGAGTCTGTGTTTTTCATTTTTAGGAAATGGACGAGGAGGAGAATCTATTTATGGAGGATTTTTTGAAGGTGAAAATATTTATATTTTTAATGTTTTCTAGTTTATTCATTTCATTATTTTTTTAAATGTTTATGTATTTTATTTTATTGGAAAGGCAGAGAGACAGAGAGGGATTTTTCCCTCCACAGGTTCACTTCACAAATGCTTACAACAGCCCAGGCTGGGCCAGACCAAAGTTAGGAACCTGGAACTCTGTCTTGTTCTCCCACATACGTGGTAGGGACTTAGGTGCTTGAGCCATTACCTGCTGCCCCCCAGGGGGTACATCAGCAGGAAACTAAATTGGAAACAAAATAACTGGATTCCAGCAAGGGAATCCAATATGAGATGCAGGTTTCACAAGTTGCAACTTAACCAAGTGCCAGATGTTCACCATTTGGTCATTCTTTCTTGAATCAACAAGATTATTCATTAAACAATATACTAATATTCAACTACCTGCAGCTCATCTGAAGGTTAATTTTCTTGTGGAAAATTCTGTATGATACTTTTTTTTATAAAGGTAAGTTTGTGTTTGGAACATTAATATATCATTTTATTTGAGGAGTTTCAATGATCTACACTAAAATCTTAGAAATGTAGTGCTAGATTAAGAACTTGTTCACTAAAAGATTCAGCAATATTTCTTAGTCATAAAATTCAAATTTTAGATATTTTTCTCTGTAAATTTTTAAAATTCTCTTGGTATGCTGAAATTTGACTGTTTTCCCCAAATTTATGTTTTTTTCTCTGTAATTTTTATCGGTGTGAAGATCATTTTGACAAATGCAAGCATGCGAATGTGGAAATAATTTTTTTCCCAATTTTCACTTTGGGTGTCAGTAAAATTTTGTTTCAAATTCCATAGGTTTTGTTTTCATATACTAATCTAATCATATACTAATCACCTCTTTGCAGTAGGTGATACTATGGCAAAGGTTAACTTAATGAGTCTAGACTAAATATTATGAGAGTACTTCAGAAAGGTTGGTGGTAAATGCAATTAAAAATAAAGTAGCCGGCGCCGTGGCTCAATAGGCTAATCCTCCGCCTTGCGGTGCCGGCACACCGGGTTCTGGTCCCGGTCAGGGCGCCAGATGCTGTCCCAGTTGCTCCTCTTCCAGGCCAGCTCTCTGCTATGGCCCGGGAGTGCAGTGGAGGATGGCCCAAGTGCTTGGGCCCTGCACCCGCATGGGAGACCAGGAGAAGCACCTGGCTCCTAGCTTTGGATCAGCGCAATGTGCCGGCCGCAGCACTGCGGCCATTGGAGGGTGAACCAACGGCAAAAGGAAGACCTTTCTCTCTGTCTCTCTCTCTCTCACTGTCCACTCTGCCTGTCAAAAATTTTAAAAAAATAAAAATAAAAAATAAAGTTTATTTTGCTACAAAAAATTTTTGAAATCCATGCATATGAAGGGGTCTTTAAAAAGTTCATGGAAATGTATATTAAGAATTACGGATTTCAAGTTTTCTTGTACTAAAAGAGACTTATTTTCTAATTCAGGTTTTCTTGTTTACAGGGTGGGGGAGAGGGAGGGAGGGAGGGAGGGAGGGAGGGAGGGAGGGAGGGAGAGAGAGAGAGAGAGAGAGAGAGAGAGAAAGAAAGAAAGAAAGAAAGAAAGAAAGAAAGAAAGAAAGAAAGAAAGAAAGAAAGAGGGAGGAGGGAGGAGGGAGGGAGAGAGATTGATTGATTGATTGATTGATTGATTCCAGCAGGGAGCTGAATCGGAAGTATAGCGCCCGTGACTTGAACTGGCACCCACAAGGGATGCTGGCACTGCAGATGGTGGTTTCACCTGCTATACCACAATGCTCCCCCCTCTTTTTTTCAGGATTTATTTGAAAGGCACAGTTAGAGATCTTCCACCTGCTGTTTAACTTTCCAAATGGCCACAATGGCCAGGGTTGGGCCACGCTGAAGCCAGGAGCCTAAAACTCTATCGTGTTTCCCATGTGAGTGGTAGGGGCCCAAGTATTTGGACCATCTTCCCCTGCTTTTCAGATTCTTAGCAGGCAGGTAGAATCCAAAGTGCAGCACCCAAAACTCAGACCAGTGCTCATGTGGGGTGTCAGTGTTAAGCTGATGGCAGCTTAACCTAGTGGGCCACAACACCAGTCCCATCTGTTTTCTTCCTTGGTTTCTTCTGAAAGTTTTGTGTTTTGTTTAAATAAGCCAACAGTTATGTTGTCTTTTCTAAAAATTGTACAGGACAAGATAAGTGGAAAGACAGGAAATTCATAAAGGCTTTGGTTTTTATAAGCAATAAATAGGAAAATTTAATATTCTAATCTAAACTTACAGGAAGGGAAATTGACTCATATTTGATCCTTTCTTTATAACCTACCTTTGTTGTCTTAAGTTGTGTCTGAAGAAGAATGAAAGTGAAGTTTTTTGGAGATTGTGTCTATAATATAACAGTGTTGCTTCTCTATAGATGAGAGTTTCGCTGTTAAACACAACAAAGAGTTTCTCTTGTCAATGGCCAACAGAGGGAAAGATACAAATGGTTCACAATTCTTCATGTAAGTATTTATGATCTGATGATTTAAAATACCCCATTCATTGTCTCTTGTTTTTCTGTGTACCTGCCATTAATCATTAGTAAGCAGGGGAGAAATTCATAAGGTGGGATAATTGAATGAAGAAGGTAAATAATTCTTGAAGAGAAAATTGTTAAAGGAGGAAGCTGCTCTTTCTCTCCATCTCCTGATCTCGCTCGCTCTCTCTCTCATTCTCTCTCTTGATCTCTCTTATGCTCTCCTTTTCCCTGTTTTCCTTCTTTGCCCCTTCCCTCCGGTCTGTCTGGTTTCCCTCAACAAACCCTTCCCCTTAAAAAAAAAAAACAGGGTGGGGTGGGGAGCTGAACTGTGGTGCTGAAATTTTTCAAGTGATGGAGACTTGTCAGTAGGACACAAGAGCCAGGTTAGGGGGGTTCCCACTGGCTAAATTGAGACAATATGAGCATCAAGAAAAAGAAAATAATGGTATCAAGTTACAATCAAATAGGAATCCCAGAGTCTGTAATGATGTTCTTATAGTCTTTCCTTATCTGCAGTTCCCCTTTTCTTAGTCTCAGTTATTCATGATTAACCATACTCTGAAATATTAAGTGAAAGATTCTAAAAATAAATAATGCATAAGTTAAATTATGTGCCATTCTGAGTAGCACGATGAAATCTCACACTGTCCTGCCAGGAGCATGAATCACCTCTTATAAACCACCCCTTTGTGCAATGTATACAGCATGGATACACTGCCTGCCTGGTAGCTGTCTTGGTTGTCGGATCACTCTTTGGGTATTGCAGTGCTATGTTCAAGTAACTTTTTTTTTTTTTTTTTTTTTTTTAAGATTTATTTATTTGAAAGTCAGAGTTACACAGTGAGGGGAGAGGCAGAGAGAGAGAGAGAGGTCCTCCATCCGATGGTTCACTCCACAGATGGCCGCAACGGCTGGAGCTGTGCTGATCTGAAGCCAGGAGCCAGGAGCTTCTTTCAGGTCTCCCACGTGGGTGCAGGGGCCCAAGGACTTGGGCCATCTTCTGCTGCTTTCCCGGGCCATAGCAGAGAACTGGACAGAAAGTGGAGCAGCCAGGTTTCGAACTGGTGCCCATATGGGATGCTGGCGCTTCAGGCCAGGGCGTTAACCCACTGCACCACAGCACCGGCCCCCTCAAGTAACTCTTAAGTAGTAGTTTAACACTATATCATATACCTGTGTCATTTACCTCATTTCATATAAGCATTGTATCATCACGAGAAGAAGGGTGAGTATGGTACAATTAAGATATTTTGAGAGAGACCATAATTTTTAGAAAAGTATATTATTATATTTGTTGTATTATTAACTTTATAATAAATATGGGAAAAAAACATAGTATATGTTGGCATTCTTGTTATCCTTGGTTTCAAGCATCTGCTAGAGGTGAATGCATCCCCAGTAGATGGGGGAATTATTGTAGGTAAAGGAATAAGTTAAAAGGGAGAAGGGAAAGCTGTTCCTTAGTAGCATGTCAGCTAATATATGTATATGTATATATGTATACACATATATATTATATGTATAAGGGAATGGTAGAGTTATAAAAGTTATTGTTTCGCAGTTATCATGGTAGTAATTTATTCAGGAAGGAGTCATCTATGCATAAATTTTGAGGGATAATTTTAATGGGAAAAGGGATGTAAGTAAAATAAACCTGATGTCATTATTCCCAGGCTTTATGAATTCACCTACACATTAAAATTTATTTGTAACACAAAGTTAATGCTACTAAAAGTTCTCCAGTTCTGCCTATAAAATAATTGTAACAAAGCTCTTGTCAGTAATATTAATATTTTTTATGCTGTACTGTGCATGAAGATTTGCTATCTTCTTCAATAACCTTGAAATCTTTTGTTGTTGTTGTTGTTTTAATTTTTATTTATTTGTTTGAGAAATAGGGCTCCCATCTGCTGGCTACCTGCAATGGCCAGGATTGAAGCTGAGACCAAAAAAACTGTCCCTGTCTCCCACTTGGGGTGCTAGGAACCCAATCACTCAAACCACTACTGCTGCCCTCCACAGTCTGTATTAGCAAGAAATTGTAATCAGGAACCAGAGCTGGGAATCCAACTCAGGTGCTCAGATGTGAAATGCCAGCATCATAACTGGTAGACTAAATGCCTGCCTGCCCCTCTCCTGAATTATTCCAGTATTTCGCTGTTCCAAAAATATTTTTTTAAAGATTTTTATCTATTTATTTGAGAGGCAGAGCTATAGCAGAGAGAAGAGAAACTGAGAGAATGGTCTTCCATCCTCCAATTCACTTCCCAAATAGCCGCAACAGCTGGACTTGGGCTTATCTGAAGCCAAGAGCCAGGAGTTTCTGTTCTCCCATGTGGGTGCAGAGGCCCAAGTACTTGGACCATCTTCCGCTGCTTTCCCAGGCCATACATAGCAGAGAGCTAGATCAGAGAGGAGCATCCGGGACATGAACTGTGCTCATAGAGGATGCTGGCGCTGTAGTCGGAGGCTTATTAGCTTACTATGCCACAGCACCACCCCTCTGTTGCAAATTTGTTAATCCCATCAGCAGTGAGAAATCTGACTCTTTTTACTTTCAGTATTTCTACACGTTTGCTGAGTTGTCAATACACAGTTACCATCCTATAGTACTATGCAAAAGAACCTACTAACTAAAGTTCATTATTTATAGTTATGTTTTGTTTTTAGGGTGAGAATAGGTGATTAAAATGACATTTAAAATTGGCCTGTGTTAGTACTTTTTTTATGATGTTTTGTAACTCACCAAGTATATTAGCTTTGTTTCTGATTACATTTTATTTTGTTCTCCCTCCTACCTTGCCATTTTGATTTGTTTTTGCTTTTTTTGGGGGGGGGGGGTGTTGTATATTTATAAAATAGTAACATGATTCCAAAGGTCAAAACAAAAAGAACTATCATTTCTACCCAACCCTACTCTGTACCCATTCCCCCGTTTTGTTCAGCCCATTCATACCCATCCATGTTAGTATTCAGCCTCATTTGTTTCTGGTTCATCTTGCATTTTTTTGCAAATGTAAACCAATTTTTTCTTATTTTCCCTTCTTTTTAAAGTATTTATTTGAAAGGCAGAGAGACAGATTTGTTATCCAGTCTCCCAACCACTGGTTCATTGTCCAAATATCTGCAGCAGCTGGGTCTAAGGCAGGCTGTACGTGGCTTCCAGGAGTCTAGTCTCGGTTTCCTGTATGGGGGCAGGGACCCAATCACTTGAACCACTACCTTCTGTTACCTGGCTATGCATCAGCAGGAAGGTAGAATTGGGAGTGGAGCCAGGACTCAAACCCAGGCAGTACAGTAGGGGATGCAGGCATGCCAAGTAGTATCTTAACTTCAGTTTATTTACTATAGAATAGCTGGCATACTATCTATATTCTTTTGATTTTTCACATAACAAAATATTGTTGAAATCAGTTCATCCAGAGATAATTTTTTAAAGATTTATTTACTTATTTGAGAGGTAGAGTTACAGACAGAGGTACAGACAGAGAGAAAGGTCTTCCTTCCGCTGGTTCACTCCCCAAATGGACGCAAAGGCTGGAGCTGCACAGATCCCAAGCCAGGAGCCAGGTGCTTCTTCCTGGTCTCCCACGCAGGTGCAGGGGCCCAAGGAATTGGGCTATCTTCTGCTTGCCCAGGCCATAGTAAAGAGCTGAACTGGAAGAGGAGCAGCCAGGACTAGAACCGGCACCCATATCGGATGCCGGCATCACAGGCTGAGGATTAACCTACTGCATCAAGGCACTGGCCCCCAGAGATAATTTTTTTAAGATGTATTTATTTGAAAGAGCTACAGACAGAGGAGAAGGAGGGAGGGAGGGAGAGAAGGATGGATATCTTCCATCTGTTGGTTCACTACTCAGATGTCCACAGTGGCCTGGGCTGTGCTAGGCTGAGGCTAGGAGCCAGGAGCTTCATGCAGGTCTCCCACTTGGGTAGCAGGGGTCCAAGTACATGGGCCATCTTTTCTTCTTTTTCCAGGCCATTAGCAGGGAGCTAGATCAAAAATGGAACACTCAGGAATGGAACCAGCACCCATATGGGATGCAACAGGCAGTGGCTTTACCCACTATGCCACAACACTGGCCCCAGATCATTCTATTGTACACCTGTACAGTAATGTCTTTGTGTATATACTGTAGTTTTACAGCTGCATAGTGCTGTCGTCTGTGTATATATACTGTAGTTTATTCAGCCAGCTTCCCCTACATGAATAAGTCTGATTTTTTTTAAAGATTTAATTATTTTTTGAAAGGCAGAGTTAGAGAGAGGAAGAGAAAGAGAAATCTTCTATCTGTTGATTTATTCCCCAAATGACTGCAGTGGCCACGGCTGAGCCAGGCTAGAGCTTCCAGGTGCCCCATGTGGACCCAAGGACATGGGCCATCTTCTGCTGTTTTCCAAGGCATATTAGCAGAGAGCTGGATCAGAAGTAGAGCAGCTGAGGCTCAAACTGATGCCCATATGGGATCTTTGCATTGAAGGCAGCAGCTTTACTTACTACAGCTTTGCACATTGCACCACAAATGCTGGCCCCAGTCTTTATGAATTTTTAAAAGCTTTGTTACCTCTTGCATTTTGCTTTATAATCAACATCTGGATATAATATAAATCTTTGTATATAATTACACATTAATCCATTATTTGACTATATTATGCTTTATTAATCTCATTTTTGGACATTTGATTTGCTTTCTGTTTCATTTTTTTTATTTGAAAAGCAGATAGAGTCAAAGATTTTCCATCTGCTAGAAATGCCTCTAACAGCTGGGCCTGGTCAAGCTGAAACCCTGAGCATGGAACTCATTCTGGGATTCGTATGTGAGGGGAGGGACCTAATTTCTTGAGCTATCACTGCTGCCTCCCAGATTTTGATTTAGCAGCATGCTGAAATTGGGAGTAGAGCCTTAACTGCTGTGTCAAATACCCCTACATCCCAGTTTTCAGATGAATATTGTTATATCTTCTGTTTGATGTATTTTTAAAATTTCTTTAAGTTGATAAAAAGTTTACTTAGTGAAATATTTACACAATTTGGCATTTTCATATATGATTAGAATCTGAGAAGGATTTTCAGAAGGAAGTAAAATTGACTGTAGCATCAGAAGTAACTATGTGCTAATTTTACCATATCCTCAGTAAAAGAGTATTACCATTTTATTATCTTCTCTTAGATCTTTCTAGCCATAAATAAACTCCTGCTTATGTTCATGTAATTTTTTTTGGTAGTCTAAGAATCTTCCCTCAGAGTGTTGACTTCTCCTTATCTCTTTGTTTTCTTTCCTTTTTTTTTTTTTTTTAAGATTTATTTTATTTGAAAGAGTTACAAAGAGAGGTAGAGGTAGAGTTAGAGTTAGAGAGAGAGAGAGAGAGAGAAGGTCTTCCATCCACTGGTTTACTCCCCAGATGGCTGCAACGGCCAGAACTGAGCTGATCCACAGCCAGGAACCAGGAGCTTCTTCTGGGTCTCCCACACAGGTGCAGGGGCCCAAGCATTTGGGCCATCTTCAGCTGCTTTCCCAGGCCATAGCAGAGAGCTGGATCAGAAATGGAGCAGCCAGGACTCAAACCTGCGCCCATCTGGAATGCCAGCCCTGCAGGCCAGGACTTTAACGTACTGCACCACAGCCTCAGCTCCTCTCTTTGTTTTCTAGATAATCATTCCTTTTCTGTATTTTTTTTTTTTAAGATTTATTTACTTATTTAGAATGAGAGGGGAGAAGAGAGGGAGGTCTTCGAGCCACTGATTGACTCCCTAAATGGCTGCAATGGCCAGTGTTGGACCAGGCCGAAACCAGGAGCCAGGAGCTTCATCCAAGTCTCCCATGTGGGTGGCAGGGGCACAAATACTTGGAGCATGTTCTAGTGTATTTCCCAGGCCATTCGCAGGGAGCTGGCTGGGAAGTGGAGCATTCAGACACAAGATGCCATATGGGATGCCAGTGTTGTAGGCTGTGGCTTTACCCACGGTGCCACAGTGGCTTTTTTTATGTATCTTTTAAAGGAAACATCTTCGGTACTTAGAGAGCTTCATTTTTTTAGGAAAAAAATTGGATAATGCATTAAATGTAAAATTTTGCTATTTTAACTATTTGTAACTATGTAGTTGTCATTATTATTCACCATGTTTTGCAGCAATCTCTTATCTATTTCCATAACTATTGGATCATCCCAGAGACTATTCATTTCCCTTTTCCCTCAGCCCCTGGTAATCTCTAATCTACGTTCTAACTCTGAATTGCCTATTTTAGGTACTTCATTTAAGTGATAACATTCAATATTTGCCTTTTTATGTCTATCTTGTTCATTTAGCATGCTTCCAAGGTTCATCCATATTCTAATCTATATGAGAACTTCATTTGTTTTGATGGCTGAATATTACCACTGCATGTTTATAACGCATTTCTTTGTTCATTCATCTGGATATTTGGGTTATTTCTGCCTTTACAGTATTTTGAATAATACTGCAATAAGCATTGGCATTGGAGTCTCTGTTTTCAGTTCTTACAGCTGTATACCTAGAAGTGGAGTTTCCAGGTCATTTGGTAATTTTGTAAGTTAGAGGTTTTTTTTTAATTATTTAATTTATTTATTTGAAAGAATCACAGAGAGTAAGGGACAGAGAGAAATCTTCATCTGCTGGTTCACTTCCCAGCTGGCTGTCATGGCCAGAGCTGGGCCAGGCTGAAGCTAGGAGCCAGGAGCTTCATCCAGGTCTCCCACGTGGATGCAGGGGCCCAAGACGTTGGGCCATCCTCTGCTGCTTTCCAAGGCACATTAGCAGGGAGCTGGATCGGAATTGGATGAGCCAGTATTAAAACTGGTGCCCACGTGAGATGCCAGCGCCATAGTTGGCATCTTCACCCAGTATGCCACATTGCTGGCCCCTACATTTCGCTTTTTAAGGAACCACTAAACTGTTCTACAGCAGTTGCACCATTTTACATCCTACCAGCATTATATAGGAGTTTCAGTTTTCCACATCTTTGCCAACACACTTGTTTGCCACTCATGTTTTTGCAAAGGATCATGAAAACACCACAGGTTTTGGGGTTACAAGTAAGAATTTGCAAATATAAAATCTTTGAAGTGAGAGTTGACTATATCAGTGCAAATTACATGCAAGGACCTCAGAAAAATTCATGGAAAATGTGTATTATAAAAAAATGCACTGAGTTCAGAATGCTTTGCACCAAAATAAAGTTACTTTTTAATTCTGGTTTTCCTCATATATATGCACTGTGAATGTAACCGGTAAAAGACATATATAAAAATAGCATATTAGGCTTTTACATTCCTAGGTGATTTTAGCAAGTTCAATTGAATATAGTGTTATAATGAGGAAAACAGACTAATTTTAAAATTAAGCATGCTTAAAAAATGCTTAGGCTTTGTCCCAACTTTCAGTCCAGTTCTCTTGAGTGTGAAGTTTAATCGATGTCAGGTGTAATAAATTCAAAAGCCTAGTCAAGGCAGATAACAAAGCCTATTGGGACAAGAAACTAAATTATTAATTCTCATGTTAAAAAAAATGGGAATATTCAATCTGTCCAATTGTTGTCACATGCTAGGTACCGTAACTTCCAGTTATCCCAAGAAATCTGAAACTTGGATTTTTTTTTTGTAAAAAAGTATCCAAAACTTGGCAGCTAATTTAATTATTTGTAGAATACCATATGAACCATTTCTGTTTGGATCCAACAGAATATATCTGAATATCAATATGATCTGTGCTTTAATTGTATAAAATGTTAAGATTAAGGGGTCAGTATTGTGGTGTGGGAGGTTAAGCTGCTTTCTGCAAAGCTGGCATCCCATATATGCCTCAGTTTGAGTCCCATCTGCTCCACTTCCTGTCCAGCTCCCTGCTAATGCGCCTGGGAAAGCAGTGAAGTGGGCCAAGTTCTTGGGCCCCTGTACCCATGTGGGGAACCTGGATGAAGCTGGCTCGTGTCTCTTTCCTGGCCCAGCCCTGGCCATTGCGGCCATTTTGGGCGTGAACCACAGATGGAAGATCTGTGTCTGTAAATCTGCCTTTCAAATAAATAAAATAAATTAAAAAAAAAAATGTTTTTAAAGGGGGGCCAGCGCCATGGCGCAGTAGGTTAATCCTCCGTCTGCAGCGCCAGCATCCCATATGGGTGCCGGTTCTAGTCCCTGCTGCTCATCTTCCAGTCCAGCTCTCTGCTATGGCCTGGGAAAGTAGTAACCTTTATCTCTGTCTCTACCTTTCACTGTCTATAACTCTACCTCTCAAATAAATAAAATCTTTTAAAAAAAAAAAAAAGTACATATAGGGGCTGGCCCTGTGGCGTAGTGGGTTTACGCCCTGGGGCACCGGCATCCCATATGGGCGCCAGGTCCAGACTCGCTGCTCCACTTCTGGCTGGTCTGGCTCTCTGCTGTTAACTGGGGAAGCAGTGGAGGATGGTCTGGGTCCTTGGGCTCCTGCACCTGCATGGGAGACCCAGAAGAGAAGGATTGGCGCAGCTCCGGCCTTTGCGGCCAGTTGGGGGGGAGTGAACCATCAGCTAAAGGACCTCTCCCTCTCCCTCTCCCTCTCCCTCTCCCTCTCCCTCTCCCTCTCCCTCTCCCTCTCCCTCCCTCCCCTCCCCCTCCCCCTCCCCCTCCCCCCCTCCCCCTCCCCCTCCCCCCCTCCCCCTCTCCCTCTCCCTCTCCCTCTCCCTCTCCCTCTCCCTCTCCCTCTCCCCTCCCCCTCCCCCTCCCCCCCCCCCCCCTCCCCCTCCCCCCTCCCCCCCTCCCCCTCCCCCTCCCCCCTCTCCCCCTCTCCCCCTCCCCCTCCCCCTCTCCCTCTCCCTCTCCCTCTTCCTTTCCCTCTCCCTCTCCCTCTCTCTCCCTTTACCCCTCCCCTTTTCCCCTCCCCCTCCCCTCCTCTTCCCCCTACCCCTCTGTGTGGCTCTGACTTTCAGGTGAATAAGTAAATTTTTTAAAAAAGTACATGAAGTGTTCAGGAAAAAGTTTTCTTTTATCTGCAAGACAGATATAGAAAGAAATCTCGGCATCTGCCAGTTTACCTCCAGAAGCTCACAACAGCCCAGACTGTGCCCCAGATCCAGGAGGTGGGAACTCAGCTGGGTCTCAACTGTGGGTGGCAGGGACCCAGCTACTTGAGTCATCACCTGCTTTCTGTGCATTAGTAGAAAGCTGGAATCAAGAACTATATCAGCCGCTGGCGCCGTGGCTCACTAGGCTAATCCTCCGCCTTGCGGCGCCGGCACACCGGGTTCTAGTCCCGGTCGGGGCACCGGATTCTGTACCTGGCTTCTGCCATTGGATCAGCGCGGTGCGCCGGTCGCAGCGCGCAGGCCGGGGCGGCCATTGGAGGGTGAACCAATGGCAAAAAGGAAGACCTTTCTCTCTGTCTCTTTCTCTCACTGTCCACTCTGCCTGTCAAAAAAAAAAAAAAAAAAAAAAAAAAAAAAACAACTATATCAGGATTTGAACCCAGGCGCACTAGTCTAGAATGCAGACATTTTAAGTGGCATTTTAACTGCTATGACAGATGCCCACCACTAAGATGTTAAGATTGAAAGGGACTATTGTTAAAGTTGTAAGCTAGTAGGATAGTAAGATACATTTTGAATGTCTATACAGTAAGCTATATATTTTTCCTATTCAGTAAGCATTCAGTTACATGTAAGAAGCATGAATGGATAAAAGTAACAGCAAAATGTCATTCAAGTTTTATTACATTAAAGTTTTCAACAATGAGTAGGTATTGCTTTTATAATCAGAATAGATTTTTTAAATATGAAAACATTTTGCATTATATTCTACTTAAGGTAATATTCTGTTATATTAAGGTAGCATGTGATTTGTTTTCAACTTTTTTCCAATACAGTTATTTTGTTTTCCTTTTTAAGAGATGCTAACTTTGTTTTTTTTTCTTTGTTTTAATTATTCGATCTGATGACCTTGCAAAAGAACAACGAAGCCAACTCCTCATTTAGATGGGTAAAGATTCTTTTATTTTACAACATACTTTGTTAATATTAAATAAGAAGCTTTTAGCTAGTCATCTTTTCGTGACTCTTTAGGCATCATGTTGTTTTTGGGCAAGTGATCTCTGGTCAAGAAGTTGTGAGAGAAATAGAAAACCAGAAAACAGATGCAGCTAGCAAACCATTTGCTGAGGTACGGATACTCAGTTGTGGAGAGCTAATTCCCAAATCTAAAGGTAAGAATAAGTATATGTTTCTGGAAATCTAACCTAAGATAAGCAGGGCCACACTGCTTGTCATCGTAAAAGTGATAGAAACAGTAGATTTTTGTGTTCCTAAGTGTATTTTTATGTTTTTATGTCTAACTTTTTAAGATGACAAATAAAAATTGTATATGATTGTTATGAACAGCGTATTTTGAAATGTGTACTTTTGAGATGCCTAAATTGAGCTAATTAACTTGTTGCCTCATATTTTCTGGCGACAACACTTAAAATCTCTTAGTGATTGTGAAGAATACAATATGCCGTTATAACTATGGTTACCATGTGTATAATATATCCCTTGAACTTGTTCTTTCTATCTAACTGAAACTTTGTATCTTTTGACAAACATCTCACCTCACCAATCCCACCACCACCTCCATTACCGAAAGCTCCTGTTAACCACTATTTTTCTTGTTGCTTCTGTAAGTTCATCTGTTTTGGATTCCACATATAAGTGAATTTTTATGGTATTTTCCTTTCAGTGTCTGGCTTGTTTTACTTAATATCCTCTAGGTTTACCTGTGTTACTGCAAATAGCAGGATTTCCTTCTTCTTTAAAAAGAGGCTGAATAGTATCCTATTGTGTATATATTCTACTTTTCTAATCCATTAATCCATTGATGGACACGTAGATTGATTGCATTTCTTGGGTGTTGTGGATAAAGCTGCAGTGAACATGAGAGTACAATTCCCTTCAACTAACTGATTTCATTTATTTTGATTCTATATCCAGTATTGGAATTAATCATTGTTTTAATTTTTTTCTTTTGAGAAATCGCCGCACTGTTTTTTAACTATTAATTTACATTGCTACAGACTATGAATAAGAGTGCACTTTTTTCTACATCCTCACCAACAATTACTTTTTTCTTTGTATAACCATTCTTTGTTATAAGGTAATACTCTAACTGTGGTTTTAATTTGCATTTTTCTAATGATTAGCAGTATTGAAGATTCTACCATTTATATGTCTTTGGACAACTGTCTGTTCAGGTCATTTGACCATGTTTTTGATCAAGTTTGTTGTCTTGGTATTGAGTTGCTTGAGTTCCTTATATATTTTGCATATTAGCTTCTTTTCCGGTATATAGTTTGTAAATGTTGTCTCTCATTCCATAGCTGTCTCTTTGTCATTCTTTTGATTGCTTCCTTGATTATATTGAAGCCTTTTAGTTTTATGTACATTTTCACTTTTGTTGCCTATGCCTTTGGAATCATATCCAAAATCATTGCCTAGACCTGTGTCATGGAGCTTTTCCCCTGTGTTTTCCTCTGTTTAAGTCTTTAATCCATTTTGAGTTAATTTTTATATGACTTATGAGATAAAGGTCAAATTTCATTCCTCTCTGTATTGATATCTAGTTGTCCCAAGGCTGTTTTTAATGACATTTGTCTTTTCCCCCATTTTTTGTTCTTTTGTATTTCCATTTGTGTTAGATCATACTTGTTAATTTGTTTACATGGAACTACTTTTTCTTATTTATTTGCAGTAATTTGCCGTTTTGCTTCTCTTTGGCTTTTGGGATTTTTTTTTTTTTCATTGTAGTTGTCAAAATAGTGTAATGAATAAATATTATTCTAGAGAAAGAGACTGGGTGGAGGATGGTAATTGAAGAGAGTAAGATAAAGAAACTTTGTGGGAAGAGCTTTGGTTTTATAGTTAAGGTGCTACTTGGTTAAGTATGGTTAAGATGCCACATTGCCCCTTTGAGGAAGCCTGGGTTCAAATCCTGTCTCTGCTTTTTTTTTTTTTTTTAATTAATTTATTTATTTGAAAGAGTTACGCAGAGAGGGGAGAGGCAGAGAGAGAGAGAGAGAGGTCTTCCATCTGATGGTTCACTCCCCAAATGGCCACAACGGGCAGAGCTATGCCAATCAGAAGCCAGGGCCTGTTCCGGGTCTCCCACTTGGGTGCAGGGACGCAAGGACTTGGGCCATCTTCTACTGCTTTCCCAGGCCATAGCAGAGAGCTGGATTGGAAGTGGAGCAGCCAGGTCTCCAACTGGTGCCCATATGGGAAGCTGGCCCTTCAGGCCAGGGCATTAACCTACTATGCCACAGTGCCGGCCTGTGCTTCTGATTCTACTTTCCAGCCAGTGTACACTCGGGAAAGCAGCAGGTGATGGCTCAGGTTGTTGCATCCCTCACACCCAGGTGGGAGACCTAGATTGAGTTCAAGTTTCCTGGCTTTGACTTGGTCCAGCACTGGCTCTTGATAGCACTTGGGGAGTGAATTGATGATGGGACATTTCTCTTTATCTATCTCAGTCTGTCTTTCAAATAAAAAAAGAAAAGAAGTGAGACTTTGAGGGAATGAATTATTTTTGCTAAATGCACTGCTTAGATTCAGAAGCATTCTTTACTTTTTGAGAAACCTCTTTCACTTAGATCAGACCATTCGAAACTAAGATGATTAATTTGTGATATTGTCTGAAACAGTAAGAACTTTGCTTTAAGTAAATATTTTGTCTTTACATGTTGTATCGGAAATAAGCCAGTGCTATCATGTAACACAGATACTGAGTCTGACACTCTAAAAGTAATGGAATAAAATTACCTTTAAACCTGTACAGATGTATAACACATTAGACTATTCTTACTGATCTGGAGAGTAGTAATATGAATAGTTGTGGTTAGGAAATGTGAAAGTCATCTATAATCTTTTCTGATCCTTGAAATAACTCTATAATACTATTGCCCCAGTTTTCAGGTGAAGATAGGCAAAGAGATTAAGTTATTTATCATATGAGGGGATTGGGCTTTAAACCCAAGTTTGGGATTTAGAGCTTTTTCTGTTATATGTTACTGACTCATTGAAGTTTAAAATTCCTTACAAAATTGCTCTAAGTGGATGTTCTCATCTTTGAGGTATACTGATTTGCTCTATAATATTTATACATACATAGTTTTTAAAAAGTTTTTAGATACCACAGATGAGAATAGAGAATGCAAAATGCATATTTTAAATTTTCTGTCTAGTGATTTCATTTTCTTCAATATTGTACTGCAACTAATAATGGAACTACTTATATAACCTCCTGGTAAACCTGAGACTGGTACAAATAACAGATATAATGCATACTTTTTCCCTCTTGAATTTTTAGTAAAAGAAATGGTGAGACTATTTGAGTGGTACCCTACTAATGCAATTGTTTACATTTTTAAAAATAAACAGTAAAAAGCAGCCTATATCAATATTAAATGTTCGCAGATTTTAGACCATGGACTTTCTGATGTTGAAATCCTTAGATTGTTGTTAGTACCTTTAGAATTTTTTTAAGGTGCTACTTCTTCCTACATATAGAAAATTTTTATCTTCTGTACTTGACAAGTGATTATTTTTCTTTTGTTTTATAGTCTTTAAAGTCTCTTGTATTAGGATCTATCTTCTGATTATATAAGCTAAATGTCCTATGTGGCTTATATATTGAGTAAGAGATTGAGGAGCCTACACTGTGGCATAGTGGGTGAAGCCGCCACCTGCAGTGTTGGCATCCTATATGGGTACCAGTTCAAGTTCCAGCTGCTCCACTTCCAATCCAGCTCTATGCTATGGCCTGGGAGGGCAATGGAAGATGGTCCAAGTCCTTGTGCCCCTGTACCCACATGGGAGACCTGGAAGAAGCTCCTGACTCCCAGCTTTGGATTGGCCCAGCTCTGGCCGTTGTGGCCACTTGGGGAGTGAACCAGTAGATGGAAGAACTCTGTCTCTCCCTCTCTCTGCCTCTCTGTAACTCTGACTTTCAAATAAATAAATATTTTTTAAAAAGAGATTGAGATAATAAAAGCTTGCATTTTAAATTATAAATAGTAATCATAGACCCATAAATATAAAAAGTCTTTTGGTACAAAAAGGACAGTTTAAATTTTTGCTAAAGATCAAGAAGTAAATTAGTATAGCTCTTTATATATTACGACTCACATCTTTGTAATCTGTTGTCACCTGAAGAAATACAAGAGAATTTTAAGAAGTTCACAGAAAATTCCTGTTACCTTTTCTGTCTTTGGGAGCCAGTGAGGAAGCTCCCCAGATGTCTGCAGCAGCTTCACCTAGGCTGGCCTGATATCAGGAGTTGGGAACCCAGTATAAATCTCCTACATGGATGGCAGGAACCCAGTCACTTGAGCCTGACTGCCTCCTCAGTCACCACCTATCAGGGGTTGGAGCCAGGTATTAAACCTCAGTGATTTGGTGAGGGATGCAGCATCCTAACTGGCTTCTTACCTGCTAAGTCAGCTTCCCATCTTTCTTGTTGTTTCCATTAACTTTTTTTTTTTTTTTTTTTGACAGGCAGAGTGGACAGTGAGAGAGAGAGACAGAGAGAAAGGTCTTCCTTTGCCGTTGGTTCACCCTCCAATGACCGCCGTGGCCGGCGCGCTGCGGCCGGCGCACCGCGCTAATCCGATGGCAGGAGCCAGGAGCCAGGTGCTTTTCCTGGTCTCCCATGGGGTGCAGGGCCCAAGCACCTGGGCCATCCTCCACTGCACTCCCTGGCCACAGCAGAGAGCTGGCCTGGAAGAGGGGCAACCGGGACAGAATCCGGCGCCCCGACCGGGACTAGAACCCAGTGTGCTGGTGCCGCAAGGCGGAGGATTAGCCTAGTGAGCCGCGGCGCCGGCCTGTTTCCATTAACTTTTTAAAGTCCCTCATGTGGCCCTTTATTTACATATATCAGCTCAGGAATTCCTGGAAAAGTCAAGTTTATTTTGAGCCTGACTGCCAATTTTGCTCTGTTCTGGTTCACATTGGAAAGAAGAAAAGACCTTTATGATTGACATCACACAATTTGGCATCTGTTCCCCAATAGTCCTTTAATTTGCATTCAGAATATTGTCAGAATGAATTTTGTCATGGATTTAGATAATTTTTTCATAGCAGAGCATGTCTTACCTCCACTTTATAAGTTTGATGGCCTCTTTATAAGAATTTAAAAATCGGGAGGGGCCGGCGCCGTGGCTCACTTAGTTAA